GCAAATAACATGCATGTTTGAAAAATGACATGGTAATCTTCATGTTATCAATATTAAAATATGAGATATCGGTACCTTTTCTTAGATTATAACCTTTTAAATGTGTCATTTTCTTTGCAGGACAAAAAACATTAATTGAAATTATTGTAGATTTTTTAAAAACTAGAAATAGTTAAAAATAAAGCTTGGGGCTGAGTATGTTTATATGTGTATTTGTATATACACATATATACATATGTCATCTTAACAGAGATAAAAACATTTCAAACCTCCATATTCTATATTTTTTATCTAGAATATTTGTACACGTTAAAATAATCAGAGGAGATATTGTTACTATAGTCAAAAAATGGTAGATTTAAACAAATCTTTCTTTTGTTGTAGGAGTTTTTTTATTTTTTGTTTTAGCTGTTTATTGCTGGTTCAATTTTTCTGCCAAAGCAATTTCCCACACTTAAATATCATGAATCCAATGAAATATATTTTTTATTTTTTCAATCTTTTGCAGTAACAAATCTGGCAGCTAACAAAAGTAAAGCATCAATTCCTTATGTTGCTTCCATTTAGGAAAAGTCATCAGTAAGCCAATAGCAGAAATCATTCTGGCAGTTGGATAATTTTTCCAGTTTCTTTGAAAACTTTATCCAAAATGTTGACTAATTGGGCATGGCCACGAAGTTGGCAATATGTGCTGATTTGTTTACAATCTCATCAACCTGATCTAGAAAATTTACAATTTGCAATCGTCCATTTTGAGCCAGTTTGGTGTAGCGGTTAAGGCATCAGGCTAGAGACCAGGAGACTATGAGAGGTCTAGTCCTACCTTAGGCACAAAGCCAGTTGGGTGACCTCGGGCCAGTCTCTCTCTCTCAGCCCTAGGAAGGAGGCAAGGGCAAACCACTTCTAAAATCTTGCCAAGAAAACTGCAGGGACTTGTCCAGGCCAGGAGTCAACACTGACTCAAAGGTCCAAAAAAAAAAAAAAAAAAAGTTGCCCCCTGATCTTTGGAATAAATTTCAATTATACTTTTCAGTTCCTATATATTTTAGCACTTTACGTTTTTACAAGAGTTATTGGCAAAATATAATTTGGTTTATTTTAAAATCAAGACCAGGAAGAGACATTTCTGAATATGTTAAGATTTTACTTACAGTTTAAAACCAGAAAAGTATAGTGGCAACAGGCAAATTTTTAACTATTGGTATAAAAACAAGGTCTTAACTAATAAAGTTTATACATACATACATACATACATACATACATACATACATACATATATACAGTTTGTAATATTCAGGTTCATGTAGGGGCATTTTCAGGGGTATGTCAAAAAGTCAGCAGCTCTGATTGTGCAGTTGAAGCTCTCACTCTCCACCTTAACTTTTTGGACACCCACACACACCACCCCAGCTCTTGCCCTTGCATCCAGACATGGACTTCTACCATTGTTAAATTGTTTGTCTTATAACCCTACTTGTTCATCTTCTGCTATTATTTGTTTACAATAATCTTTAAAATCAATAATTAATTTAGTGACTTTAGAATTTACTGGCTTGTTTATTATCTCATTATCCTTACGATAATGTCTGGTCACTTCGTGATTTGAAATGAAGATGACTTTCATAAAGTCAACATACCAGAGAGGAAAGAGTGCTTGAGGTTAAGTGTTGAAGCATCTATTAAAAGCTAGGCCACAGCTTGTGGCTTTGCAATTACCAATCTGTATTGCACCTGAGACAGCAAATATCAGGGGTCATAAGCAACTCAGAAAGAGAATGATAAGATTCGGCTTCAGACTTAAAACATCAAGTACCAAGTAAACATCTACTAAGATACCAAAAGCATCTTCTTCTTAAAGATGATTAGATTTAGGCTAGGGATAATGCCTTGTGGGGTCAAAATTATATCTCCAGTAAAATAACAGGAGGCAGAGGAGCTGCCTAGAGTGATGCTGACAAAAGACAAAGAGGGAATTTGACTCGATAGAGGTAAGAGCTCAGGTTTGAGGTTATATCATTGACATAAGAGCATCAATATTTCTTCACTTTTGTGGCATTCACAGAGGGTTGCCCAATGCCTCCATTTAAAGTTAACTCTATTAGGAAAGGATAGTTGGAAGAGCATTTGTTGGGTTATGGTGAGAAGTGTTCAAGGCGTCTAGAAAAATATTATTGCGCAGATCTGCTTGGAGTTGAATGTCTATTCCTCGAATCAGCCAGGGCTTCTACAATATTGCCAGCAGGTGAGACAGGAAATTCCTCAAGCACATCCAGAAAACAATCTGGAATCATTAGTCGCCTGGATTAGACCACTTTAACTGGTCCTGTACCCTTGCAGAGATTTATAGCTGCTGCCAGTCTAAAATTGACCAGAAATTGATCTGTCCATGAAAGCAAAGTTACAGAAAGCTCCTCTATTTTCAGGTAACCCACACAGACTGAACAGAATAGGAAATCTAACATGGTACTGGATATCAGTTGGGACAAGTCCATGTTCATGATGGTGGACTTGAAATCCTGAGCCATTCCTGACTGGTTAACCTTAGGAATTGGACATTGCTCAAGACAGAAGTACATTTGCCACCATAAAGGGGTTGTGGGGCATTTCTTCCCTCAACTGGATTTTGTGTACCTTTATGTAATCCCACCCTTCAACCAAAACTCGCTTTTGGAGTGGCTTATTATATAGTAATAAGAAAGTCCTTATGCACAGGCTGACTGTCTTAAAGAAACCAAGAGAAAAGGAAAAGGAATTTTGAGGAGAAAAAAAAGAAGTACGTTTTTTTTTTTAAATATATATATCCTGACAAGTTCTTAGCTATGAGCTGGGTTCTCAGGTTTTGCTACACTATAATGTGGTTTGCTTTGTTTTGTTTTACATATCTCATAGCAATGTTCTTTATAAAATGGCCTGCCACATTTAGCTGATAATAGGAACTCAGTGTATTTGTCCTAGCTAAATGTATAAACTGCCCACTAGCCCTGGGCAGCAATCCAGATTCAGGGGGAAAGGGGTGACTCGTTGTGCATGTGGGTACATACATCACACCTGCCAGCATCTTCTTAAATCAAAGCATCTTTTCCTGAAATCATGGCACAACCATGAAAATGTTCAACTGCTTTAAGGAGAGACCCATGAAGTGTGATGTTCATGCCCCCACAAGCTCTGAATCACCTTTCTTCCATTCAAATTTGAACTGCTACACAACTTTACTGCTGCCATCATTTGTCTGTAGTAGTGAGCCTCCATGCTCCAGATAACTCCTGCTTCTGTTCTTTCTGTGTTCTTCCTTGCCCTATAAGATATTGGCAACTCATCCTCTTCCAATTAGCTGAAAGGCTGCTATTTCACTACAGGGCAGGAGCATGCAAAAATGGGAAAAAGTATTTTGCTCCAAGTATAGAGCAAAAGTGCCTCTGAACTTCACCCAAACCATTCAAGCCCAATAATCATCTAGTTAAAAGCAAAACTCAGATAATTTAGATTGATTTGGGGTTTTGGTTGAGACAAAATTTTAAGGGGCAAGTAGCGCAAGCCTGGTGCACTCTACCACTCTCTTCTTTCCTCCACCTGGCCTGTGCATCAGCCTGCCCAAAAATATTCCCAGCCCTTCTCCCCCTTGTCTTCTCTTAGCTACCATTACACTTTCTTCCAAGTGTGGCATACTTGCCCAGCCTACTTGGCCCTTCTTCCCTTTTCCTTGTGCCTTCCTTCCCTGCCATTGCTGCCCAGCACCCACTAGATGGACCTGCCTATCTCTCTATTGCCATGGACTTTGCACCTACCCAACACATCTGCTCTACCTCTCCACTGATGCATGCACTGGCCTTCCTTTTCTCATCCCTCTGCCCTCCCTGCTGGATCAGGTGGAATAGTCAGAAACCTTTGGAGATAGATGGTCCCACAAGTAGCCTGACCTCGAGCCATGTAGGGATTTAAAAGTGATAACCAACACCTTGAATTGCACCTGAAAGCACACAGGCAGCCAATACAGCTCATGCAGCAGTGGTGGTACATGGATGGAATGTAAAGCACCCAGGATGGCATGTGCTGCTGCGTTGTACAGATGAACAAATGCTCTTCAAGAACAGCCCCATGTAGAGCATGTTGCACTAATCCAGCCAGGCAGTGACTAAGGTGTGAGTGAAAATGAGGAGAGCTTCCTGGTCCAGGAACAGGCATAACTGGCACACAAGATGAACCCATGCAAAGGCCCCCCTGGCCATGGCTGCCACCTGCTCCTTGAGCAGGATCTGCAAGTCCAGGAAGCCCCCCCAGATCATGCACTAACTCTGTCTAGGGGAGTGTTACCCCATCAAGAGTTAAAAATGACGAATCACTGGATCGGGGAGGGGGGGGCAACATCTAAAGCCACTTGGTCTTGCCAGGGTTATGCTGCAACCTGCGACAGATCACCTGATATTCCCCAATTTGTGAACAGAATGGGTTACACATCATTACTACAGGAACTAAGTACTCTTCGTAAGCTTGGCTTTGCTCAAAGGTCATTAGAGAGCAGCATCCCAGATGTAAAAATAATCTGATTTAACAGAAATCACAATTCTTCTTGACTGAAGTAAGAGAAATATATGCCCATTCTCTCACTGATAGCAAGGGTGCTTAAACTTCCATAAACAATTCTTCCTCTTTGGAGACATGCAGATAGCTGGCACCATATCTCCCCCCCCCCCTTATCTTCCTTCCCCTCTTTATCCACTATAATTGTTTGTATTCTTAGCGGGATGTCCTAATTATAGAATACGTGATACAAAAACAAAATTCTGAATATTTCAAAGTACTGGGCAAAACATTAGTCACTGACGGTATTTCTTTGGAGAGTCGTTTTGGGTGTTACTCCTTGTAACAATGAATGACTCCCCATTTGTCAAAAGGCCATGCACATGGTTTCTCACCCTAAGGGCTGGCAGCATGAAGCAATTAGTAAAACAAGCAGTTGGGGTATAAAGCAGAGGGGGAAAATGCACAGGCATTGAACCTACCAAAATGCAGAGATATCATTTCTAATGTCTTTTTGGAGGGAAGTTTCAAGGTGACTGTTGTTCCCTTGTAGAGTTCTTGTGAAGTGCATTTGCCACAAGGCGGTTGCTAGGCAAAATTTTAAGGGCAGCTGAAGCCCAACCAACTTCCCATCTGTGAAGTAAATACAACGCCGAGAGTTATTTCTGTTTCCCTTTAACAAGGACTTTGTAGAGTCATCCCAAAAGAATGTGTCCCTCACACTCAAGGAAAACAGAAACCGCTCACCACATTACATGTTACTGAACAGATGGGAAACTGTTTGGATTTATTATTGCCAGCTAGTGGAGTGTAAGGAGGGGCTGGTCCCCAAGTTGGCCACATGGATGCAATATGGTAAATGTGATACTGTGAAGGCCGCATGATGCTGTAGTGAAGATTACTGGAGATTTCTGAGCCCCGGACAGCGATAATCCAGTTCCTTGTTCCAGCCTCAATTTTTTTAACCTTTGCTGCAGCTGTCCTATTTATAAGAGAAAGTCTTGACTGTCTGTCTCCAAGAGTCTGTAAACTTTTTTTTTTTTTTTTACAAATCATGCCTTTGGGGAAAATTGCCAGGATGTCTTTTCAACACTTGGTTAAACTGATATTTTAGCTCTCTCCTTTAAATTTCTACTGCCTAACTGGGAATGCTTAGATCAGTAGACCCAACATATCTGGAGGGAACTAAGTTGGAAAATACAGCCTAACAGATAAATTGCTCAGTGAAGAGCAGATGCATCTTCTCTTTAGTGTGCATACATCCAAATCAGTTAATGGCTACTAAGGGTTGAGGTGAAGTGGGGGAACCCTGGAAGGAATATTTTTATAGGAAATACTATGGGACAACCAGTTTGATGTAGTGGTGAAGGCACCAGGCTAGAAAAGGGGAGTCTGTGAGTTCTAGTCCTGCCTAGGCTCAAAGCCAGCTGGGTAACCTTGGGCCAGTCCCTCTCTCTCAGCCCTAGGAAGGAGGCAATGGCAAACCACTTCCAAAAATCTTGCCAAGAAAAATGCAGGGGCTTGTCCAGGCAGTTGCCAGGAGTCAGAATTGACTCAAAGGCGTGCACACACACACACACACACACACACACACACACACAA